AATAATCTTCCATTAAAAAGGAAAATTATGAGACTTAGAAATGGCCATGTTTTAAGAACTGAGTGCCTAGAGGGTCTTTTTTGTCATCTCCATGATGTAGTAAAGTCCTGGGTGCCAAGGGAATGGAATCAGGATATTCTAGTCTTCTCTTTTGTTGTTGTTAGGTGCTGTTGAGTTGCTACTAACTCATAGCGACCTTATGCACAACAAAATGAAACGCTGCCTGGTCCTGTGCCAACCTCACAGTCATTGCTATGCTTGAGCCCATTGCTGCTGCTGCTGCCACTGTGCCAATCCATCTCACTGGAGTTCTTCCTTTTTTTTTTTTTTTTGCAGAACCTCCACTTTACCAAACATGATGGATTATCCAGGGACTTGTCCCTCCTGATAATATGTCCCAAGTATGAGAGACAAAGTCTGGCCATCCTGGCTTCTAAAGAGCATTCTGGATGTGCTTATTCCAACACAGATTTTTTGTTGTTGTTCCTTTGGCAGTCCGTGGTACTTTCAATATTCTCCTCCAACACCATAACTCAAATGCATCAGTTCTTCCATAATCTTCTTTTTTCATGGTCCAACTTTCACATGCATATGAGATTACTGAAAATACCATGTCTTGTCAGATACATCTTAGTTCTCAAACTGACATCTTTGCTCTTGAACACTTTAAAGAGGTCTTATGGAGCAGATTTTTCATTTGATTTCTTGATTGCTGCTTCCATGAGTGTTGATGGTTGATCCACGCAAAATGAAGTCTTTGACAACTTCAATTTTTTCTCTATTTTTCTTCATGTTATTTATTGGTCCAGTGGTGAGGATTTTTGTTTTCTTTGCATTGAGGTGCAACCCAAACAAAAGGCTATGGCCTTTGATCTTTATCAGTAAGTATTTTAAGTGTTCTTCACTTTCAGCAAGCAAGGTTGTATCATCTGCATATCATAGGTTATTAATGAGTCTTCCTCCAACACTGATGCCATGCTTTTGTTCATATAAAAGTAAGAGAGCCGAATAGAAAATTTCAAATGGCAACTTGAGAAGACAAAATCAAATATTATAATAAGACGTGCAAAGATCTGGATTTAGAAAACCAAAAGGGAAGAACGTCCTGAGCATTTCTCAAGCTGAGGGAACTGAATAAAAAATTCAAGCCTTGACTTGAAATATTGAAGGATTCTGTAGACAAAGTGGAGTCCTGGTGTCGCCCTGTAGGCTAATGCGTCAGACTGCAACGTCGTTTGAACTGCAAGGTCAGTGGCTCAAGCTCATCAGCTGCTCCTTGGGAACCCTACACAGGGTTGCTCTGGGTCAGAATCGACTTGGTGGCACTTAACAACAACAACAAACAGGAAAAATGCTGAATGATGCAGAAAGCATCAAAAGAAGATGGAAGGGATACAGAGTCACTGTACCAAAAAGAAATGGTCAGTGTTCAACCATTTCAAGAGGTAGCATATGATGAGAGCCAATTACACTGAAGGAAGAAGTCCAAGATGCATTGAAGGCGTTGGTAAAGAACAAGGCTTTGGGAATTGATGGAACACAAATTTAAGTCTTTCAACAAAGAGATATGACACTGAAGGCACTCACTCATTTATGCCAAAAAAAATTGAAAGACAGCTACCTGGCCAACTGATTGGAAGAGATCCATATTTATAACCATTCCAAAAATAGGAGACCCAATGGAATGTGGAAATCATCAGACAATTATCATTAATATCTCATGTAAGTAAAAGTCTTCTTCCTTAGGGCCACGAATTTCTGGTCAATGAATCTTCAGGACCCAAGGCTTCGTAGAACCAAAAGCAATCTTCACTAGAAACAAATCCTCTGGAATGGCTACTGGCCACACCTATGATGCTGGAATGACTCTAAAGGAACCAAAGTTCATATTTCTCCTAGCTACATCCATCTAGGAGCTCTGGTAGCGTAGTGGTTACGAATTGGGCTGCTAATCTCACGGTCAGCAGTTCGAAACTAACAGCTGTTCCTCAGGAGAAAGATGAGGCTTTCTGCTCCCATAAAGATTTACAACCTTGGAAATCCTGTACAGGGTCCCTATGAGTCGGAACCAACTCCACGGCACATAACAACAGCAACATCCATCTAGGTGCTTAAGCCAGAAAACTTGAGAAACCCTGTAGTTTTATGGTCCCCAATTTTTGCAGTGCTGGAAAAGAGCGTCATAAAACCCTACCCAGAAACGGTCTTTGAAAAGGTATCAGATTTCCTGATTATTTTTATAGATTTAAATTAGCACCCAGTGGGATTTTCATGTATCATCTGACAAAATTATTCTAATATTCCATTAGAAGAGTAAAGTAAGACTATAATTTGTTGTTGTTGTTGTTGTT